TACCGGTCAAAAAGCCAGGGACTAATGATTATCGACCGGTTCAGGACTTAAGGGAAGTTAACAAAAGGGTAGAAGACATTCACCCCACAGTGCCAAATCCCTACAATCTCCTCAGCACCTTGCCTCCGACCCATACCTGGTATACTGTTTTAGACTTGAAGGATGCCTTTTTCTGCTTAAGACTGTCTCCCCAGAGTCAGGCCCTTTTTGCATTTGAATGGAAAGATCCTGAGGAAGGGGTCTCTGGACAACTGACTTGGACGAGATTACCACAAGGATTCAAGAACAGCCCAACACTCTTTGATGAAGCGCTACATCAAGATTTGGCTGAATTTCGGGTGAGACACCCTTCCTTAATTATGCTTCAATATGTGGACGATATCTTGTTGGCTGCAACCTCCAAAGAAGACTGCCTAACAGGTACAAAAGAATTGTTGCAAACCTTGGGACTAATGGGGTACAGGGCATCAGCAAAGAAGGCCCAGATCTGTCAGACAAAGGTTACCTATCTTGGCTATGAACTTTATGATGGTCGGCGCTGGCTGACAGCTGCCAGGAAAGAGACCATCTCAAATATACCAACCCCCCAGAGTTCCAAGCAGCTGCGGGAGTTTCTAGGAACTGCGGGTTTCTGCAGACTCTGGATTCCTGGGTTTGCTGAGATAGCAGCCCCCTTGTATCCACTGACTAAACCAGGTGTTTCCTTTACCTGGACTGAGGAACATCAATTGGCATTTGAGCAAATTAAATTGGCTCTTCTGTCGGCCCCCGCCTTAGGCCTGCCAGATATTACCAAGCCTTTTGATCTGTTTATAGATGAAAAACAGGGTTATGCAAAAGGGGTCCTAACCCAAAAACTGGGACCCTGGAGGCGTCCTATAGCCTACCTGTCAAAGAAATTGGATCCAGTGGCAGCCGGATGGCCACCATGCCTCCGGATGATAGCAGCTGTGGCTCTTCTGATTAAGGATGCCACCAAACTGACTTTGGGGCAACCATTAACCCTATTAACCCCTCATGCCATTGAAGCCATAATTCGCCAGCCACCCGACCGCTGGATGTCAAATGCCCGACTCACCCATTACCAGTCTTTGTTATTGGATACTGACCGAAT